AAGCGAAGCTTCATCTGTATTTACAGGTGCTCCCTAGCACTAGCATCACTGCCACAGTTCCACCTCAGATCATTAGGCCTTAGATTCTCATAAGGAGCCACAACCTAGGTCCCTCGCACGCGCAGTTCACAGTAGGGTTCACACTCCTATGAGAATCTAATGCCGCTGATCTGACAGGAGGCAGTGCTTCTGCAGTGATGCGAGCAATGAGGAGCAGCTGTAAATACAGATGAAGCTTCGCTTGCCAGCCCACCGCTCACCTCGTGCTGTGCGGCCCAGTTCCTAACAGGCCATGGACTGGTATTGGTCTGCCACCTGGGGGTTGGGGACTTCAGGTCTAGGAAGCTGCTAGGATCTTGGGATCTAGCCTGCTTCGTTCAGATGTATCCGTTTGGCTGGGATTCCTTTTCCCTGGTACTCCATCCCTTCCTTCCCACTACACATTCACATATCACATACAGTCCTAAATACTGCTTTAGACTTTAAATTAGATATATTTTGGGAAATTCCCATAAGAATATATGATACTATTGTCTTTAATGCTATGAGATTAAAAAACAAAAACCACAACACATTCTATTCGCTTTTCCATGTGTAAGAGAAAAATGAATTTCCATGTGCAAATTTTCATAACTCCAATGTTGAAGCTGTCTCACAACTGTTAATGTGGGAATTTCTGAAAATGATGATATATATACTCATATGTGACAAAAGCTTTCACATCTGATGAAAAGCAAAATGAATATACTAAATGAATTATTCCATGGCTTTATAATATTAATTATGTACCTTGAGCATTCAATAAACACGTGAGAGGCCTTTTCTAATTTTTTTTTTCCAAATAGACATGTGATCAGAGACCCAATAAGAACTTATCCACTTGGTAATTATTAAGTAATTTGTTTCTTTCTATCTCAGAGAGAAAAATCCCAGATGAAGATTTCATCATTTTAATTGATGGATTAAATGAAGCAGAATTTCACAAACCGGATTATGGGGATACAATTGTATCATTTCTGAGTAAAATGATTGGAAAATTTCCTTCTTGGCTCAAACTAATTGTAACAGTTAGGACCAGTTTACAGGTATGTGTTTGTTTGCTTTTAAACCATAAATTATTTCCCTTGCAAAGGACATAAACTGAAAAAGTTCTAGGTCACAGTTCCCTTAGTGACAATGCTTTCTAAACCTCTACCATATCTTAGAGTATTAGCAATAATAATTCCCAAAGAATTGTTGTATTTTGAGAGAAAGAGATATAATCTAGAAAGAACATTCTCTGTCTGTGACACTCAGATTCCCATTGCCCCGGATGAGGTTTGATAAAATGTCCCTCAAAATAACATGAAAAGAAAGTCCATTTTTCTAGACTTTGTCCTGAGGACAACAGTGCAGAGAAAGTCCCTAACACTTTGACTTTTGTTTCACTTTCATCATTTAACGCTATGCAAAATTTAGTTCAGTCTACAGTCTAGAGTCACGTTTTCTCATTCCTCCATCTGCTTTTACTTGAACAACTTTCTATAGCATGAAGGTGGACTTTCTTCTGTATATACCTTCCTCTAACAAATGTGGGCAATACGAGGGCTTTAGATTAAATCTACTACACCTGGGAGATAAGTGGTTTTTTTCCTAATTACCTTCCTTGCTCACTCACAGGTCACTTAATGGCCTAGAAGAAGAACCAGGAATGTGGGATGAGCCTGTAAAAATATATGGGCTAAAAGTAAATAACTCCACCCTCTCCATGATTCTCTTTGTAGCTGAATTGGTCTCTCCCATTCTTTTATATATTCACACTTAGTTTAGAACAGTGTTTTTCAACCTTTTTTCTGTTTTACATCATATACCCATCCCACTATTTTGATGCAACCCCCTTATAATAAGTACTACTGCACAGAAAATAGTCTGTGCATTTAAGTCCCTCTTTTTTCCCTTCTCCTGAGCATTTAGTAGTATTCCTACATATTGACCAATTAGCTTTACTGCTTTCCATGATCAGAAACTATATTTCTAATCCTGTCCACCACCTCACAGATGTTTATTACCAATCTCAAAGTAATTTGAGTTAAAGAATGTGGATGATCACCATAAATGTATCTTTACAACTAAAAAATTATATAACCTATCATTATTGGTGAGTAGCTTGATTGTTAAAGATGAAGGATGAATAAAAGAAGCCTCCAGGAATACAATCTCTGACTACTTTTACCAAATGTATGCTTAGGAGATGTTATCCTCATACATGTTTTCACATAATGTCATGTGCAATCTCAAAAGAAATTTTAAGTATATCTGGGTAGAGCAGATGACTTTAATTTTTCATCTATGCCAAAAAAACAGAAAAAGTACTATACATATTAATCTACAAAGTCCAAATTTCAGTGTTTTCATGGATAGAGACCTGCAGTAACTTCCCACATACTCCCTTCACTTCAACTAAGAATTTTTAAAAATTATTTTCTCTCAGTTCTGACAGTGAAATAATTCATAAGTTTTAAAAAAGGAACCCTCACATTTGATCATTAATTAT